CAGGGTGATAAAATCTATTTCTGAGGTTAGTCTGAGTAATTTCCTGCTAGCATAGAGAGTAGCTTCGCTCTGCAGCACTGTTCACCTTCGTGGCAGCAGAAGTGCTTCAAACTCTTGACATCTTTATAACACACGTTGGTGCATTCATGTGTAAAAGCTTTTATTTACCGTATCATGCTTGTTGCAAAGATCTGACTCTGTAACAGCAAACACCCTTGCTCCTATTTATTTTAAAGGACGTGAAATACCTGCTCCTTTTTCACTCTGAACTTGTAGACACATTTTTCCTGTTTATACTGTTGTGCAGAAGTTTCAGGGCAGAGTTCAAACAGGAGTTCTTCCTCCAGCAGCTCTCTGCCGGTGCCGTGTGGACTTGTCCAGATGTCTGCTGTTCTGAAACGTCATCTAGAGCCCCACCTTCGTTTGTTTAAGGAGCTGAAGGATTGTTTGACCACAGCTCACGTAGCACTGCTCAGACTTGTAGTTTTTACAGTTGCTGCTCAAAGTGGACTCAGATGGTGAGCACAACTGACTTCTACAATCACAATAACAGATCTTTTATTTTCAAGCACTTTAAGTGGAAAAACAATAAGTGCCGGTACTCTTACCCTTAATGTCATATAAATATGGGACAGAAACATACGTAATGTTTTTATATAAATCAGTCTATCGATCTATAGAAAGGGTTTTATTGCACAGAAATGACAGATAAAGTCAGTTCTATATCAAATCCACAAGAGTCAAATTCAAAATGTCTTGGAGTGCATAGTACCTAATTACTTTTACTCAATTACATTTGCTTGAGAAACTTTTTGGAAAAAAATGTACCTTTAAGACATGGGTCTGCAACCTGTGGCTCTGGGGCCACATGTGGCTCTTTGGTCCCTCCACAGTGGCTCTTTGGTTCCTCCACAGTGGCTCTTTGGTCCCTCCACAGTGGCTCTTTGGTTCCTCCACAGTGGCTCTTTGGTCCCTCCACAGTGGCTCTTTGGTTCCTCCACAGTGGCTCTTTGAAAATGTGGCCAAACATAACGATTGTTTTTGTTTGTACCCACAACAAAAATCCATTTGTATGCAAATATGTGTTCAATGCTACTAATACAAAATGTAAAACATGCTGATTAGCTCATGCTAGCTTGTTGTTTACTTAAATAATCCAACTTCTTTCTATGGTCTTTCTCTCAAATCCATCAGAATTACCTTTAAAGAATTTGAAGACTACGTAATAAGAAGAATTAGAAAAAAAAGTGCCTGAATAGTTCAGTTGTACTAGTTTTTATGAAATTTGGTGTAAACTGTAAGTATTTTTCTTGTTTACATGAATGTGGTCTTTTCATTTGTCCTGAAGTGTAAAAATAACAATAAATAAAATTTAGGGCTGCAACGATTAATCGACGACTAATCGAATTTTAAAATAATCGATGACTAATTTAATAATCGATTAATCGTTTTC